GTCATATTTTGATACTAGTATCAATAACTCGGTTCAAATCGGAATGCTTACAGTCTAACAAGACTGAAAAATATCTGAACATTTCTCTCCAAAATAATAACTTTTTTTCAAAGGATGAAAACGCATGATGCCTTCACTATTTCAAAATTATAAAAATTATCTGTTTTACGAAAATTTTATAGAAAAGTAATAACTTGCAAATTGAACCTTTCATACCTTTTATTTCATTGATAAAATGTCATGAACTCATCCATTGTCCAGTTTGATGGCCAATTAAATTAATGTACACCTGTGTAAAATAAAATGAAAATAAATCTGTTTTCAGATAAACAGATTTTCATTAACATAATATAATTATAATTTAAAGACTGAGTGAAATTTTATAGATAAGGAACTTTCAAAAAGTTAAATTATAACATATTAGGTTATAAGCACAGTTTTATTTTTATCATTTTTATATAGTCTAAATCAATTAGTACATTTTTTCGACTTGTACATTTAGTATAGAATAAAAACTGCGTTTTGCATTTGCTCCGATTTACATTTCACTTGCGTCGATTTTTTTCTTTCACTTGCGCCGATTTTGTCTTTCATTAATTTGCGCCGATTGTGTACAGGTAAATTACAGGTGAATGTTATTTTTTTATTTATCAAGAGCTTTTTATCGAATATAAAAAGATAATACAAAAGAAAAACATAATACATAAAAAGCAATGATACATCTCCAGACTTTTTCCTTGGATATGAACCAAAATTAACTTAAACATAAGTGAACACCGTTTATATCCAGATTTTACCAATATGCCTTATAGGTATATAGTACATGCACATGTATTTACTCACCCATGTTAAAATGCAAATGCAAATAGGAGCCAATATAGAATCGGCGCTAGTGATAAAAATAAAATAGGCGCTAATGAAAAAATCAAATGGGCGAAAATGAAAGATCAAAATTTTGTTAAATCGGCGCAAATGTCATACGCCCAATAAAAAGACAATGATAACAGTGGTGAATCCGGGGGGGGGGGGGGGGTTCCGGGGGTTGGAACCCCCCTTTTTTGACGATCAATGCATTTGAATGGGGACATATAGTTGAAACCCCCCTTTTATAAATGGCTGGATCCGCCACTGGATAATGATTATTTTATTAAAGTGTCACATATTGATGGCTTACAAGTGAATATACATGTTTAATACACAACACAGTTAAAAAAAGATCAATACCCAACCTATAATAATATAGACTTACGAGACACTAAATTTATAATAGATATATGATTTATAAAGTATTTGCAATCACGTCTTTAATAACGACATAAAATAGACAAAAGTCAAAATCTGTACATTGTATATAAAACGTCAATATTGTTCATTCTGTCAAAGTCTTCAATGAGTCTAGTGCTTTATGAAAAACTTCGTATCGGATGTCTGTATATAAAGGACACACCATTAAAAAATGTATTTCGTTTTCTACAGAGTTCGTATTACAAAATTTACAAAGTTTATCATAGAATGAGGACAGAAAAGGCTAAGCTTAATACCAAAATTTATGATAAAAGAGATTATTTTTCATTTCCTATTGTTAATTATCCATTTTTAGATGGTGACGTTCCCTTGTCACCATCTTATGGTGTTTATATATCTCAACTTGTTCGATTCACTGGTGTATGCAACAACGTATTTGATTTTAACGAAAGAAACCTCTGTATTACTGAAAAATTATTACATCAGGGTTTTCGATATCACAAACTAGTCAAAATATTTACTAATTTAAAATTTTATCATCGGTACAAGGACATCATTCGTAAATATAAATCAACATGCAGACATCTTATACGTTCAGGTATTTCACATCCAATCTTTTATGATAATATTCTATACAAAGCACAAAAATGTCGACATTCACCTCAAAAGCTAACCAAACCTTTAAACAGACTTATTCAGAAGGGACATACTTACGATACTGTTGTCACGTCATTAAAGATGGCATATTTTGGTATTAATATTGATTCACTTACAGGGTCTTTGCATCGGAAATAAACACATTTATTCTAAAACCAGTTGTTGGCATGATACGGGTTATGTTCTTCTCATGTATTTTATGATGGTATGGAACTAAACCCCTAACGGGAGGGATTGTGCTTGATTTTCGTATGATGAAGACATAATCTTTCAATCAGTTTGATTGAGGTCTGGAGCTGGTATGTCAGTAGCTGCTAGTAGTCATTTTTTAATTTATGTATCATTGTCATTTTGCTTAGTTTCTTTTGTTACCTATTCTGACATCGGACTCGGACTTCTTTTAAATTGAGTTTTACTATGCGTATTGTTTGTAACAGTGTGTTTGTTTATTCTACATTGGCTAGAGGTATAGGGGCGGGTTGAGATCTCACAAAGCATGTTTAATCCCGCCGCATTTTTGCGCCTGTACTAAGTCAAGAGCCTCTGGCCTTTGTTAGTCTTGTACGTTTTTTAATTTTAGTTCATTTGCATGTTTTGGAGTTTAGTGTGACGTCCATTTTCATTGAACTAGTCCACATTTTTGCTTAAGGGCCAGCTGAAGCCCGCCTCCGGGTGCGGGATTTTCTCGTCGTGTTGAAGACCAATTGGTGGCCTTCGGCTGTTTTCTTCTCTTTGGTAGGGTTGTTGTCTCTTTGACACATTCCCCATTTCCATTCTCAATTTTAATGTTATTCTAAGATAGAAATTCATAATGTTCGGCATTTTTTTCTCTTTCTAATAAACCTAACATCAAGTCACTCCCTCGTTGGTTTACTTTCTGCATAGACATAAAAAAGGGTACCCACAAATTTTTGGATTGTTATTTCAAATACACTCGGCATGACAAATACCAATGAGTACAAACTGTGCAACCCTGCTAACAGCAATGTTCTACTTTTCATATAACGCTGAATTCATATTAAACGTAACACTTTGATATATATCGTAACGACATGCATGATTATATTGCCAGCGTAAACTGAAAAAAAGATTCTTTCATAACCTTTGATTCAATTTCCTTTACTTATTAAACTCAATTCGAAATTGTTCAGTTTACGCTGGCAATATAATCATGCATGTCGTTACGATATATATCAAAGTGTTACGTTATCATGGTTATGTTATTGTAGGAGTGGTTTTTTATTGATAAATTTTGCACAACATGTCAATGTGCGTATAAGCGATATTCTCAAATTGTTTGCATTTTGTTGAAAGGGAGCATATCCAATTTAGTCGACGTGTATCTTATTAACCGAGGAAAGGGAGCCCACTCGAGTTAAGACACAAATTAAGTGTATGTGTAGTTACTCGCCCTTGTTTAGCTAGGGTTTAACTAAGGATGTACAATTCTACAGTTGAAGTTTCACAAAACACACACAAAAAATATATTGTGATCTAATTTATGGATTAGCTTAAACATGTTAAAAAGGCAATTCTGGTATTTTAAGATAATAAGTTAAAGTTTGAATATATTAAACCGGACGATTTTCGTTGGCAGGTTTAATAACAGATCAATTAATTGTATTATGTAATTTAAACTAAGCAACATAGTAAATTAATAAATCAAGATAGAATATATTATTTCCTTTTCCCTTTCAATTTTATTTTATTTGATTCAAGAGTTAAATTTTTTTACAGTTTAAAATTTACTATATTTGTAAAACAAATGTTTTTAATCTATTTTTCAATGGGTTAATTTGAAGAAAAAAAATACATTCGGTTAAATGCGAGATATTAGGTATCACACTTTTGATAAATTTACTTTATAGATAGGTTGAATTGAAAAGTTATGGTTTGTTAAATTTTTTTTTTTTTTTGTTAACAATTAGAGCTCTGGTAAACAATGACAATAAATCTATTAATAAGATGGGTTTAATTGAACAGTTATATTTGTTTACATTATAGATTTATAAGTGTAGTAAACATACAATAAATCTACCTTTATGAAAGATTTAATTGAAAAAATATTATTGTATAAATTGTTTATTCATTTTTGTATTAAATAGGCAATAAATTTACTTTTACGATTGGTTTAATTAAACACATATATTTGGTTAAATTTTAGATTTATTTAGTTATTAAACATGTAATAAATCTAGTTTTACCAGTGGTTTAATCATACATTTATATTTGTTTAAATTTATTATTTATTTTGTATTATACATATGATAAATCTACTTTTATGAGTGGTTTAATTGAACAATTATATTTTCTTAAATTTTAGATTTATTTTTTATTAAACATATCATAAATCTACTTTTACGAGAAGTTTAATTAAACAATTACACTTTCTTAAATTTTAGATTTATTTTGTATTAAACGTATACTACATCTACTTTTACGAAACGTTTAACTGAAAACTTAAAATTGATTACAGTGTCTGTAACTAGTATGAAAGAATTAGATGTGGAAAATATTGATACGTTTAAAGAAAAGAATATTTGATCAACATATATGTGACATATGTAGCATATTTATTTAACACATTCGGTTTGATTTTTATTAAAACATCTCTTTTATAACGGCATATACATTTCCTACAAATTTTAACCTTCAAGTTTACGTGTTTTAACATTTTTATCCACTTTTCTTTAGAATTTTTTTTAAAAGTTAATATCCCCACATGGTAATAACTGATTATAAAAATACATGCGTAGCAACAGATGAAAATAAAACCCCTAAAAATCCTATTGCCAGAGTACCTGCTGACAATTTGGAAAGCTTTGAAAACCTTTTTTGGCTTTGACACAATATACAGTCAATATACTATTCCCAGGTATCGGTAAGTCTCAATTGGCATTATTGTCGATAGCTGTGCTACCCTCCTAAATAAAGTATTGACTTAATCAGAGACATATATACACATATATATATATATGTCTCTGACTTAATTAATGATTTTTAATAAATTCGCTTAGACCCGGAATCACAACATAATTGTCCGATTTTGACTCTACGGAGAGGAAAAACCGGATATAGCGTTTGCGCAAAATCGACAAATTTAATACACGTGAGTTTGCAGAAGCTTTTCTGTACTACAGTCCACGAAGGTTTAAGCCCTGAATTAAAAATGTCGTGGCTGTTTGGTACAAATAAAGGACAAAATATTCAACCACCACAAATCTCCCTCCCGCCTGTACCACCGGATGGAGATGACAAGGGAGGAAAAGATGGATCTAAGTCGAAAATGGATGCATACCGATTTGACTCTGCAGCCTTGGAAAGGGCAGCAAAAGCAGCTAAGGAATTGGAAGCTACAAGTAAGAACACGTTAAATCTATTCTCCAACATTTATAGGACATGTCAATTTAAAGAATAGTGAATGCAACGATGAAGAATTGCTGATGAAATAATGTCCTTGAAAACGAAGGTTATATAAAATCTCATTAGGCTATCTAAGCTCAATAGGAAATGAACCCAGAGTGTTCATGTCACATTTTAAATATGTTCTTGTGGGAATGCATGTCGTTTCATAATCTTGTTACTGTATGTACCAGGCATTGATTATGGCATAGGTCCACTGCAGAGATGGTAATTAACAGGACCCTGTACATGTAGGCCTTTATAGCTTACTGTTCGGTGTGAGCCAAGGCTCCGTGTTGAAGACCGTACTGTGACCTATAATGGTTTACTTTTTATAAATCTTGACTTGGATGGAGAGTTGTCTCATCGGCACTCATACCACATCTTCTTATATCTACTTAAAGCAGTCTGGGACGTTAAGCGGTAGCCTGAAGCCCCTGTCTAGTTAAAATTAGTTTCGGACTAGTGAATGCATATTGCCGATAGTCTGACAGGTCTAGTGCATATCAGTGTGCACTTTTTTAATCTTAAAGTCTTTACAGTAACTGCAGAATGTCAGCCATATTGATAAACTGATACTCTCCTCCTTGTAACAATACCGTAAACCAGTTTGGAAGATTGTCCCTAATTACCAATTGTCCAAAATAAAAATAAATGGCGCGAAAACGGTCAGTACAATGTGTTTTCAAAATGTAAAATTTTGGTAATCATTGATTGATTTTTATTGCTTTGACCAAATAAAATATATTCATATCAATTTTGAGTAGGAAAACATTAATTCTTAACTGTCCGCTTGACATATTGTGTATTTTAGACAATTAGTTATTAGGACGACATCTATGACTGGTTATCGTTACCGTTATTTTTATGAAGAAGTGGTATCAGTTAATCAGCTGTTTATAAACATGGCTTCAATGTTTAACAAGACCAGGAAAGGCACCAAAAAGGCCGTCTGTCACATCCGACCCAATTAACAGACTGGAGGCATAAAAGAAGTACAAATGTATGAAGACAAACACATCGTGGCGATCAAAAGCCATTGGACAGACAGTCGTCACAGGTTTCAGTATGACAATGAGAGTGATACAATGTTTTGCAGTTACAGTTATGAATAATTATGAGGAATAAAATATTGAATGATTGATATGAGCTTTCTTCTTTTCTTGGTCTGCAGCAGATAGGATCATCTCTTAAATTGAAGTCAAATCTGAATAATGAATGAGAAATTAATTTAAACATGTTAAACAAAATGTAGTATTAAAGAGTTTATATACATTTAATTTACATGTCAGTGTTCTCCCCAGGCCGATATGAGGCTGCGGTGCCGCAGCGCCTTCATAATATTTTTGTAGATCCCTCAGCGTCTTAATTGGCCGTTGTCCCTTAATACTTGATCCCGCAGCGTGTTAATTTTCACATTTTCATTATAAATGTTGGTTAAAATTGTCAAGTTACTGATCACCGCTGATGGGTCGGTCAGTGTTACGCAATAATTGATAATTAGTTTTACCTGAGCCACGCTTATCTCAGCCTTATCAGACTATGTTATCAGGTAATAGCGTAAATGATTATCAAGAAGATAGATATTTTTTTAAGAAAATTAAAAATTTTAAAAACTTCAGTGCAGAAATTGAAGAAATAGATCGCAAATACATTGTATTTACGCATCGTCTGTGTGATCACTTGACCATTTATATTACGAATTTTTTCATTGGTCGAGAAGAAGAATCTATTTAAACACAACCAATGAACGTGTTGAATACACATGATAAATTTGAATACACATTGCTAAAGATATTTACGATGAAAACATTATTAGTTGAAAAAATTAAAATAAAGTTTGATTAAAGATAACGAGGAGTGATTTACTTTAATAGAAAGTGAAAAAATGTGGCTTGCAAGGTAAATTTGTCTGAAACTGTCATATTTTTAGAAATAAAATGATCATTGAACATCGATCGTGAATCCGTGCATCGGGAAATATGTGACAACACGCAGCTTCTGTATAATGTCACTGGTAAATAATTTCATATTGTGTATTTTAGACAATTAGTTATTAGGACGACATCTATGACTGGTTATCGTTACCGTTATTTTTATGAAGAAGTGGTATCAGTTAATCAGCTGTTTATAAACATGGCTTCAATGTTTAACAAGACCAGGAAAGGCACCAAAAAGGCCGTCTGTCACATCCGACCCAATTAACAGACTGGAGGCATAAAAGAAGTACAAATGTATGAAGACAAACACATCGTGGCGATCAAAAGCCATTGGACAGACAGTCGTCACAGGTTTCAGTATGACAATGAGAGTGATACAATGTTTTGCAGTTACAGTTATGAATAATTATGAGGAATAAAATATTGAATGATTGATATGAGCTTTCTTCTTTTCTTGGTCTGCAGCAGATAGGATCATCTCTTAAATTGAAGTCAAATCTGAATAATGAATGAGAAATTAATTTAAACATGTTAAACAAAATGTAGTATTAAAGAGTTTATATACATTTAATTTACATGTCAGTGTTCTCCCCAGGCCGATATGAGGCTGCGGTGCCGCAGCGCCTTCATAATATTTTTGTAGATCCCTCAGCGTCTTAATTGGCCGTTGTCCCTTAATACTTGATCCCGCAGCGTGTTAATTTTCACATTTTCATTATAAATGTTGGTTAAAATTGTCAAGTTACTGATCACCGCTGATGGGTCGGTCAGTGTTACGCAATAATTGATAATTAGTTTTACCTGAGCCACGCTTATCTCAGCCTTATCAGACTATGTTATCAGGTAATAGCGTAAATGATTATCAAGAAGATAGATATTTTTTTAAGAAAATTAAAAATTTTAAAAACTTCAGTGCAGAAATTGAAGAAATAGATCGCAAATACATTGTATTTACGCATCGTCTGTGTGATCACTTGACCATTTATATTACGAATTTTTTCATTGGTCGAGAAGAAGAATCTATTTAAACACAACCAATGAACGTGTTGAATACACATGATAAATTTGAATACACATTGCTAAAGATATTTACGATGAAAACATTATTAGTTGAAAAAATTAAAATAAAGTTTGATTAAAGATAACGAGGAGTGATTTACTTTAATAGAAAGTGAAAAAATGTGGCTTGCAAGGTAAATTTGTCTGAAACTGTCATATTTTTAGAAATAAAATGATCATTGAACATCGATCGTGAATCCGTGCATCGGGAAATATGTGACAACACGCAGCTTCTGTATAATGTCACTGGTAAATAATTTCAATGGTTTTAACTTTAACGAATTTGTAAAGTTTCGTTTATATCTATCTACCAAAGATAGGATTAAACAATAATACGCGCGGTAGCGTAATGTGAAACTACGGAAACTGGTCAGCTGTTCATTTATAAAAAAAAATTGTTTTAAAAAGTTGTATACCAAATATCTTAACCATATTCGATTTTATTAATTCTGAATGAACATGTTCTCTGCAAATAACAAAGGGGTGAATTATAAGCAAAAGGTGGATGATGGAAGTCGAAGTTTTTTTCAGACCAATGACTTCTAATGAAAAGGGGAATACACCTCCGTCTACAGTCAGTATAAGCAGATTTCATTGCTTCTCCTAATCCCAACCAAGCTCAAGTTTTAGCAATTGATAAAAGCAAGCACCATGTTTCTGGTTTCAATGACAAGTGGCTGACTGAGTTTTCATGGCTTAGAAATGTTAAAGGGGGTATAAGCAAAAGTTATTGTGAGTGGGGGTTTAATTTTTAACCCTGAAGAGGATAAAGACAAAGTTGAGGAACAGATTGTCCAACAAAATAACACTATCTTGAAACAATATCCCTAGAAGGAGCAGAGAGTAGAGATGAATATTTATATTTTGACTTCTTTAATTGACTGAATATAAATAACTTTTGTGTTTAAAATCAATTTATTTCATGTATATATTCTTGTAATTTATTTATACTCTGCATTATTAAACACATAACACAAAGCATTATAATTCATATTGCATGTCATGATTTATGACTTATTTCTTCAGATCACAAACGTTCACTCTAAAAACAGAGTTACGCGCCCTTGAATTTTGCGCCTTAAAAAAATCCTGGGGAGAACACTGCATGTACATGTATGTCTTAAAATCATAGAAAAGAGTCTTGAACAGCCTTGTCAACAGTTCTGAGAAGGTTTTTAGTCCCCTACCGACAAAGTCAAAGGGGACTTTAGGTTTGCACTCTGTCTGTCTGTGTGTCTGCCTGTCCATCCATCAGTCCTGCAAATAAGTTTTCCACACTTTTATTCTTCGTGCTTGAAGATATTGAAATGATATTTGGTGTAATGTTTAATCATGACAAGTTACAGATCAAGTTTGAAGTTTGTTCCAGTCTGACGATTTTGTGCAGAGTTATGGTCCTTGAACTTAGAAAATTCACTCAAATAATCAGTTTTCCTCACTTTTTTTCATCATGCTTGAAGATATTGATTTGATAATTGGTATATAGTTTTATCGTGACAAGTTACAGATAAGTTAGAATTTTGTTCCGGTCTGATGATTTTCAGCAGAGTTATATATGGTCCTTGGACTTGGAAAATTCACTCAATCAATTTTCCACATTTTTTAGCTCACCTGGCCCAAAGGGCCAAGTGAGCTTTTCTCATCACTTGGCGTCCGTCGTCCGTAAACTTTTACAAAAATCTTCTCCTCTGAAACTACTGGGCCAAATTTAACCAAACTTGGCCAATATCATCATTAGGGTATCTAGTTTAAAAAAATGTGTCTGGTGACTCGGCCAACTAACCAAGATGGCCGCCATGGCTAAAAATAGAACATAGGGATAAAATGTAGATTTTGGCTTATATCTCTGAAACCAAAGCATTGAGAGCAAATCTGACAGGGTAAAAATGTTTATTAGCTCAAGATCTATCTGCCCTGAAATTTTCAGATGAATCGGACAACCCGTTGTTAGGTTGCTGCCCCTGAATTAGTAATTTTAAGGAAATTTTGCCTTATTTGGTTATTATCTTGAATATTATTATAGATAGAGATAAACTGTAAACAGCAATAATGTTCAGCAAAGTAAGTTCTACAAATAAGTCAACATGACCAAAATGGTCAGTTGACCCCTTAAGGAGTTATTGCTCTTTTATAGTCAATTTTTAACAATTTTTCGTAAATTTTTGTTATCTTTTACAAAAATCTTCTCCTCTGAAACTACTAGGATGAATTTAACTAAAGTTGTAAACAATCATCATTAGGGTATGTAGTTTAAAAATTGTGTTTGATGACCCCGCCCTCAAAGCAAGATGGCCGACATGGCTAATAATAGTACATAGGGTAAAATGCAGTTTTTGGCTCATATATCTAAACCCAAAGCATTTCTAGCAAATCTTTCAAAAACAAAATTGTTCATTAGGTCAAGATCTATCTGCCCTTAAATTTTCAGACCATTCAGGCAACCCGTTGTTGGGTTGCTGCCCCTGAATTGGTAATTTTTAGAAATTTTTTCAGCTTTTGGTTATTATCTTGAATACTATTATAGATAGAGATAAACTGTAAAGAGCAATAATGTACAGCAAAGTAAGACCTACAAATAAGTCACATGACCAAAATGGTCAATTGACCCCTTAAGGAGTTATTGCCCTTTATAATAAATTTTTAACAATTTTCATAAATTTTGTAAATTTTTACAAAATAATTTCCACTGAAACTACAGGGCCAAGTTCATTATAGATAGAGATAATTGTAAGCATCAAGAATGTTCAGTAAAGTAAGATCTACAAACACATCACCATCACCAAAACACAATTTTGTCATGAATCCACCTGTGTCCTTTGTTTAATATGCACATAGACCAAGGTGAGCGACACAGGCTCTTTAGAGCCTCTAGTTTTGGCATGCTTGAAGATATTGACTTGAAGATATTGACTTGATATTTGTTATAAAGTTTACACCATGACAAGTTATAGATCAAGTTAGCATTTTGTTCCAGTGCAATGAATTTTCAACAGGTAGGGGACTATGTATTGTCAGGCAATACTCTCAGAATGCTCGTTATTGAAGGAAAGGAAAAAAAATTATCTGACGTGGAGAAAAAAACAACATTTTTGATAAGTTATATACACTTTCAGATACAAAAATGTAACCTCAGAATGCAGGATTTTACTTGTAATTTTCCAAAATTTTTGTGGGGGGCATGCCACTGAACCCCCCTAGTGGGGTTTGATCTCTTTGTGATCATCACTGGTGACACATTTCTGGTGTTGATAAAAATTTTATTCTGCACAAGTCTAAATAATAATGACGTCTTAACTGCTTATAGGTTATAAATTAAGTTTTTGCTGCTGTGACGCTTTCCTTCGGCTTCACAGCAAAAAATTTAAATATTGTATCAACTTCATAATTATTTGGACTACATTTGTGACATGAATCGTGGCTTACATGTACATGTCAATGCATGAGAGTTCAGAAGAGAAGCAATTACCTATCTAGAAATATGAAAGAAAACATTGTACCTGTATTTTTTTTTTAGTTAAAATGAATTATTTTACTTTAAAGAAAACCCCATTGCAGACATTTACCTTTAAATGGTGTGTATATATATATATATACACATGATCTCGTACCTAAAATAAGGCGCTAGAAATATATCATTTGATTTTATTCCACATTTTTTAGGTAAAAAATATTTATTGTGACTTAAGTTCTTTAAAAATACAGGTATTCTGTGGTATTTCTACGGACTAAGCATGGCAAATCTGATTAGTCTGCTAATGACATGTGGTGTGTGTATTCTATTGGTAGACAGGGAGGTAGTAAATAATTGATTACACTTAACATATAATTTATATTTGAAAAAAATTATAGTCATGATAGTCTGGAAAGATGCAATTTCAGACTAGGGTTTTCCAAAACAGTCATATTATGCGACAAGTCCATTTCATTCAATGAAAGCGTGAACACAGTAGCACTGAAAGGGATCAGACATGCATAATATTTCATTTGATTTTGAAAACAGTCCATGAAGGTTAGACGATTGTTTTTGGCAGAAAATAGTTTTTAATTTTTAGAGGGCCGTTCCTTTAAAGTGACAAAAGAGGTTACATTATTATTCTTAATACAAGATTTAATTAGTATTATTCTGAACTTTTTAAATAACATGAATAATAAACAAAGAATTTACTTCTGAATTTACAGGAAATTTATTTGAGTACATTCATTGTCATCACAATTGCTTTTAACATGGCATGCATGTATTTGGTATGTATTGTAAATCTTCAATAGACATGACATTAATTTAAAAGAAATATGAAATCTCTTTTATATACATCTATACTGATAGGAATAATTGTTTTTTTCAGAACACTCCAAAGAAGCATTAGAATTATCTAAAATGCAGGAGACAACTTTGCAGCTTGAAAATCAAAAGAAGCTGAAGGTATTGTGGAACTCTGTCTATTGTCAAATATTATTAGTTAAATAGTGTGCTAGTGACCTAATACAGTATATATGGGGTCAGTCAATTCCATATGGGGTGAGAGCGAAGCTCGAATCCCCATATGGAATTTACTGACCCCATATATATACCGTATTACGTCACTAGCACACTATTTAACGAATTTATCTTACCGACTATCTTAACGTGTGAAATTTAAACTAGTGACCTATCAAAATGAGCAAGTCTTCAATACCGTTAGCATTAAGAAACTACTTCCATTGATCCTACAAAAACAGATGCCAACAATAACAACTTGTTAGGTTTAAATGTGTTTTATAAATTTATTTCAATCTTGATCATCAATTTCTTCGTCTGTTGAAACCTTTGAGATTTTTTTCAGTACCGTTTTGTTATTATAAAGGGACGTAACACCACTACTAACCGTGTATGAAATAAGCCCCGCCTCCCTACTTACCTAATATGGAATATACACGGTAACCACGCGGACGATTTCAACCAATCATATTCTTAGAAATGTATAGGAGGTAAGATAAAAGAGATTATGTGTGTGTTCTTGTTCAGATGTATAGTTACTGGTAAAAGTTTTTGTAAGGCATACGAAAATTATAAAATAAGTTTGAAAAAAAAGGTTATTGGACTGTTGTACATGTTTGTTAACAATGTATATGTTGTATGTCATAAAACATGAAATACCCAATTGAATAAATAAAAATATCTGCAAGTTTATTTTGGTTACATCGTACAAGTAAGGATAATCTAAATTTAATGTCTGTGCTAAAATTGGAATACTCACTTAACTTAAATTTTTCATCAAAGTCTTCTAATATGGGTATGCTTATCACAACAATGTGTATAAATCCTTGCTTTTAAAAGGAAAACTAGGTGCCTCATGTTGCCTCGTTCTACTCCCAATTTTTGTGCATAACACTAATTTTCTTTTTGCGATTTCAATCACAAGCTTTGCCTTTTGAATAATTATATAATCTTAACTATATATCATGTATAGATATTTTATAAGATATTGGCTGTCAAGCAGTGCCACAAAAAACACAGATATAGAACTTTTAGAAACACAACTTATTTTGCATTTGCCATTTTAACTTTTAATTGACACTTATATTTAGGAAATGGAAGGACAAATAGAACAGCTTAAAATAGAACAGGCAAGAGTTACACAAGAGGAAAGAAGAAAGACATTAGCTGAAGAAACAAAACAACATCAGCAGAGAGCTCAATTCCAAGATCAGCTGGCACGGAAACGATATGATGACCAGTTATCACAACAAGTATGAAATTGGATACTTAAACACCTGAATAAGTCAGTGTTCTATCTTCCTTTGTAGCATTCACTGTCAGATCTCTTTTCCATGTTTTCCTAACATAGTAATTGAATTCTAGTATAATCTGGCATTAACATTTAATTGTAAAATTGAGCATTCCTGTGTTTAAACATAATTATGTAATATTTAATGGCTCTCCCAATAAAATTGGAAGCCCAAAAAAGACCAGGCATAATTAAAATATACTTGTGTTTCTGTTAGCCCAATTTTCCCTATTTTTAATGCCTACCCTAAAGATTTATTGTGATTTATTAACAACGACTATTAAAGTCCAACTCTTTCCCAAGTATATATCAGTCAACATTTTTATAAGAATTATATTATTTGCCTACCCTACCTTAATTTTTTCAGCATGTTAACAGAAACACGGGTATTATTTTTTTAGGCATTAGCGCTTTCCATTTTATATTCCATATCAGCAATGCAGTAATATGCTTAATACAAGAAAATGAGATATAAAAGTGGAAAAACAAAAGTTACATTGAATAGAGAAGAATGTTAACAAAATCTCTGTTAAAAAAAACAGTTCTCAACTCTATGATTATTGGTTAATAAATACACAATACAGCCTTATGTAAACTGTACTAACTTAAAGTGTATCAGTTTAAGATTGTGGTTAGTAAAAGGTAGTTTGATGTATTCAATTTGTGTTTCAGGCCAGACTTAATGAAGAAAATCTAAGAAAACAGGAAGAATCCACTGCAAAACAGGAACAAATGAGGAAATGTAATTATTCAAATATTTTAAAACTGTTGATAGGGGTATAAACTGACAAACTCATAATAAAAAAACAACAGGCTCAAAACCTTAGTAACTAACTCAACTTGTATGTCAAATGTATGCATTTGCTTAAAGAAAAAAAAATTGAATTCACGATAGTTCAAACATATCTTGTTTGCAAAAGTAGCAAAAATGATTTGACAGTTATACCAGCATTAGTGACGTTCCCTCCCTTGTTAAATATAACTAAGGAGGATGGATTAAGTTTCAAACAGAAGAGTTATACTAAAAAAAATACTCAAATTTCTATTTCATTCATTGTCATTACAGTAATTTGTATGTTTGATGTGTATTGGGAAATATAAAACTGCTTGACGATAATACCTCATCATTTGTGAGTAATAGCTCACAGTAGATCAATATATAGTGTTGAACAAGCAGATAATTGGTTTTTGTATATTTCAGCCACTTTAGAACATGAATTTGATTTAAGAAGAAAGAATGAAGAAGCTAGAGTGAAAGCAGAAATGAGAGCCAAAGCAGTAGTTGATAGAGAAAACCAAGATTTAATACGGGAACAGATAAGACTTAAAGCCAAGGAACAGAGAGAAACTGTATTGGAATCTATTAAGTAAGTATATGTCTGGTTCAAATTATATTTCATAGGATACTTTTTTATTCATACAAACAAGAACACTTTATATTTCAATTCTGAAAAAGAAAATCGCTGGAAAAATAGTCTGATTAGAAGCAACTTAACATTTTTATAATGATTACCTACGAAACTAGGTGGTAAATTGTTTCTGATCTAGGTTGGTCTCTCCCATATCAGGTTAAAGTTATTTTAATATAAAGTTGTGAAATTACATGTGCTCTTTATTGCTGCCTTACTTAATAGCAACAGCTATAATATAAAATATTTTGCTATTTGAAGATCTAGAGCATTCTTAGAGTTTACAATGTTTAATGATGTCTATATAAATGAGTAATATTTTATATTTGTTTTCAGAACTGCAGGTTCAGTTTTAGGTACTGGTTTCCAAGCCTTTATATCAGACTGGGATAAAGTAGCAGCCACTGTAAGTTTATAGTCAATTTGACCAGCCCCCTTTTAGAGAGAAATCTCAGTTTAATATGTTAATATATTATCTTGTCCCGATGTAGAATAAAAAAAAAATAAGCTGCAGTTTTAAATATATATAGTATTATATTTATCTGTGAACAAATGACTGAATTATATTGAGCCAAAAATACTTAATACAATAAAATAAAGAATAATCAAAATTGACAACAACAATTCAACTGGTCTGCAATATTATTTACTATGGTCTACATGTTTCGCAAGGCAAGCGTCATCAGGACAATTTACCTACAGAAATTATTTACTGAAGTACCCAAACTGGTATCTTGAATTTGACATCACAATGTGTGTTGTCAAGGTGAGAGAAACAATGAAAAATGAAAGTAGCAATAAAGAGTTATAAGTAGATAAGATAAATATAGATATATAAAGTTTGTTTACAATGTAACTTGAGTTTGTTTTACTTATATATGATACATGACATTGTTTTAAAGGCTAGGTATCTAAATGGACGAACTTCCCATGGTTCCTACCACTTCACAAGGCTTCTCTTCCAACCTGGCCATTGTTAGACGGTACTACTTCCTGGCGCGTTTTTTATTATTATTTGAGTGTTGCATTCATTTGCATTATTTGACAACCCCGCATACCAAGGTATCCACTTCATGGACTCTAACCAAAGGATTCCCACAGGCATTGGTTCACCAGATTGAGTTTAATAAAATAAAGAATATAGAAAAATTTATATCATTTCTAATATGAGTTTTATGGGATTTGAACTTCAACTGACCAGAGCATCCATTAGATTTATCATACACATTTTTTAGTTAATTTTGATAATATTGATTAAATTACTACTTTTGCAATTTATTGGCTAAACAATATCTCATATAATACCCAAATAAACCTACTTTATATTTTTTAGGCAGCAGGCCTAACACTAGTGGCTTTTGGTATTTATGGTGCAAAGTACGGAACTGGAGTAGGTGCCAGGTTTATTGAGGCCAGATTAGGGAAACCTTCACTAGTCAGAGAAACATCTCGTCTCACAGCAGTAGAGGCTGTCAAACATCCAATCAAAGTAAATATCTTACATATCACTTTCATTTTCTTCTGACAGTGATAATACTTTGAATTTGTAATTTTTCTCTAGAATTGATTTCATGGCATTAAACAAATCTGTTATATTTTCAAAACTACTGCTACCATTTGTCAAAGTAAATACAAATTTCATGAATGTTTGATTTTTCATTAGCATGTACCAATGTGTTCTATTGTACTGATTATCATTGGAATTATGATTGATGTTGTTTTCTTAACATCTAATGACAAATATTTAATGCATATTGAGAATGAAAAAGAAGTTAACAATAAAATTGTAAATGGAAAAGGGGAATGTGTCAAAGAGACATCAAGCCAACCAAAGAGCAGAAAACAGCCAAAAGCCATCGATGGGGCTTCAACACAGCAAGAAAATCCCGCACACGGAGGCGGGCTTCAGCTGTCCACTAAACAATAATGTATACTAGTTCAGTCAAAAATGGACGTCACACTAAACTCGGAAACATATAAAGAACCAAAATTATAAATCATACAAGACAGATTTCAGAGGTTCCTGACTTGGGACAGGTGCAAAAATGTGGCATGGTTAAACATGTTTTGTGAGATCTCAGCCTTCCCCCTATACCTCTAGCCAATGTGGAATAAACAAACACACGGCAATACGCAGGGTAAAACTCAGATTAAAAGAAGTCTGAGTCCGATGTTAGAATAGGTAACAGAAGAAACTAAGCAAAATGACAATGATCAACATAAATTAACAAAGGAATACTAGCAGTTACATACTGACATACCAGCTCCAGACCTCAATTAAACTGATTGAAAGATTACGTCTTTATCATATGAAAATCAAGTCCAATCCCTCCAGTTAGGGTTTAGTATCATACCATCATGAGATACACAAGAAGAAAATTACCTGTATCATGTCAACAACTGGTTTTAGAATAAATTTGTTTATTTTTGCTTCCAAAGACCAAAATAAATGAATAGGTTTTACAAGCTGGGTAGATTGGTATGAAGGGATATAATGATTTTTTTTTTAAATGGATACAAATGACAACTTAAAACACATTTTCTAACATTACATCTTGCACTAAATGAATTGAAATTTCTGCACAAAGATACAAAGATTTATGTTGAGATTGGTATTGTTATAACCTTGTTTGTTATAGACAGTTAAGAGAATGGTCACTAAACCAGAAGATGCATTGAAAGGTATTATACTCAAGGTATGTTCATTTGAGTTTTTAGTTGATTTGTCTAAATTTGCCTGTCACATTGAATCATTTAATAATATTGTCATTCTGATCCAGATATGTCAATAGACTTGCAAAAACTTTTTGTCTAAAAAAAAGACACAAAAAATATTTGATTGTTTTGGATTTATAAAGTCAAATATGCAGAAAGAACAAGCTCAAAAGAGGAATAGAAACATTTTTACACTAATACAGAGCAAATGAAGTTGAATTATGTGTCTTTTTCTTTGCAATAACTTATGAACCATCAACCAATGCTTTCCAAATTTTAAAATGTTGATACTGAGGACTAAATGGAGGTCAAGATCGATATTGTCAATTTTCACTTTCATTGTTCAGGAGTTATAATCCTTGAAGTATTATGCATGCGCTCAGTCTTGACTTTTTTATAAAGCTTCATCCTAGGTAGGTCAAGGTAATATTTATATCATTTAAATGTATTTTAAAATACATTTTTGATTTTTGATATTCTACTTTCTATTATTTATAGCCATCACTTGAAGAGAGATTACGGGATGTTGCCATAGCAACAAGACATACAAAAAAGAACAAAGGTTACTATAGAAATATATTGATGCATGGACCACCTGGTACGGGGAAAACAATGTTTGCCAAAGTAAGTTAAAGTTTTAATCAAGTTTCAAATTCTTTCCAGGTTAAGTACTAATTTCAAAATTTTGTTGTTAAAAAAAAACCTCTGCTGCAATATATATTTGGTTTTTGTTTCTGTTAGAACATGTAGAAATTGCCTCTATCTGGACATGTTTAATTCTTTTATCAATATACGTTTCTAGTATGTAATTTATGACTTGCATTTCTAATTACACTGTATGTACTATCATAATAGCCTTAATTAGGTTATTGGTTAATTTATGCATGTAAATCAGAAGAATTATAGATCATGGTTAAGGTCAATTTATAGTAAGAATGGAAAATAATCAAGAGCCAACCAGATGCTTGGATGTCATAATGTGTAGCTTTTTTCATATGATTACATCTGTGGTTTTGGAGTTATGTGGAGAGTTCTGTAGTCTGTGGAGTATCGTGAGCTCATGACCAGGTCATAAAAAAAAATTGAACATTTGTTCTTCCCGCTTATTTACAATGTAGAAGTAAGAGCAAAGATTGAGTCAGACAATTGTGTATTAGTGAGTTGACTTTCATAATTTGTTTCGGCCTGTCATACTAGCACACATCAGGGCATATTCATCACATTAACAAGTTATTCAACGCTGTCCTGAATAGTCATGTTAAATTTTAGCCATCAATCTTAAATCTATAAATCCCTCCTTTGATATTTTACAGAGTTTAGCTAAACATTCTGGTATGGACTATGCCATAATGACTGGAGGAGACGTTGCACCTATGGGAAAAGAAGGAGTAACGGCTATGCATAAAGTTTTTGATTGGGCAAATACAAGTAGAAATGGGTAAGCTGTGATTCTTGTTGTGAATAATAGCCATAGCATTCCTTAGAAACTTTTAGTCAGGATATATACTATAAATTCAGAAATTTTTACAAAAATTGCAACAGGATAGGTTATATGTAAAAATAAAGAGTTACATTTTAATTTTGATGGCATAATTTGATGCAACATCCTGAAATTGTAATAATTAAAGTAACATTGTTTTTGCATTGTTCAACAATGCCAATAATTAACACATGCAGACCTTACTTGGGGTAATCCTGGACTCTTTGTTTAAAAGGCTTAAATATGGTTGAAATCCATATTTTGTCAATTTTCACCAAAATCTCTATTTTGGCCTATTTGCCATGTTTGCTATGCAAATTTCTACTCTTAATTAATAAGTAAAGCTTGACAATAAATCATTATATTTTACTTTTCCACATATTTATACATCAATTTAAAACACTATTCCTTTTGAACTGAACAATTTGGGGAACAAATGGTGCCCACACTGCACCTATTCCATTAGCAGTTACAAAAGTCATACACTGTATTACCTGCAAGATTGCTGCTTCAGCTTCATGCACAGTATAGTATACCACAACATAACCTAATTCTGCTTTGTTTACTTTTCAGGGTATTATTATTTGTAGATGAAGCTGATGCATTTTTAAGGAAGAGAAGTAAGGTAAGCGGAAACAGGACAGTTCAATGTTATTGGAAAGACTGCCCTTTCAAAATACCAATTTGCCATTTCAGAATCTAAAGTATTATGGGTAATTTCATTGTCCGTAGCCCAAATTATGTCATGTTGTTGGTTGAATTTCTATTGTTTCCCATGTCATAAGCCAATCACCATGTTTTTGAAAATATTACCAAGAATGTATTTGATTCTGAAATGCTGAATTGGCCAAAATGTTTTTTAAGTTGCAGATTTAATTCAACTCTTTAAAATGATCGTCTGGATCAAATGTTGTATGTCAAATAGTATTGTGAAAGAAAAAAGCATTATGAATAACCACATTAATCATAGGCAATCTTTTTATCACTAAATATAATGAATGCATGTAGTAAACAGTGTCTAAACCAAACCTCTTTAAATTCTAGATCAAGGTTTTTGTTTAAACATGAATTCTAATTCACAGCATTTTTGTAAATTATGCCTTTTTCAATAGAACTTTTTTAAGACTTCAAAATTACCTAAAAATCTTGTAAACTAAAGATAGAGTTGTGTACATTTAACAATGTTTAAATGCTATAAAGCATTAGAAAAAATGAACATTTTGTGGCAAAAATGATATCTGGATTTTTCATTTAAAATGTATGTGAAGAAATAAATGTTAAACTGTATATAATTAACAAACTTTTGGAAATATTCTGTTAGGAGTTTCTTTAAAATACTTCGAGAAATATGAATTTTTCTGAGCAAAATATTTGATTGTATTGCTAACAAAAGGAGTGGTTGTAAAATATACAAAGGGAGAGAACATCCTTTTATAATTCCTTTGTGTCATGTTATTTAAGAGCTTGAATTGTGTATAAAAGACAGATTTCATGTTCAGTTTGATATATTTTACTGTGTTGTCATTATGTCAGTACATTTGTACATCTCCAGGCTTTGTACAAAAGTTATGAATTTATATCCATGACAAGTTACAGATCAAGTTTGAATTTTGTTTGGTTCAGATTATTTTTTTGCAGAGTTAATATATGGTCCTCTGACTACGAAAATTCAGTTTTCCCCACTTTTTTTCTTCCTGCATGAAGATATTGATTTGATATTTGTTACATAGTTTGACCATGATTAAGTTCAAATTTTGTCTGTTGATCTGTTTTTATACGACCGCAAAAAAATTTTTGTGGTCGTATATTGGCATGACGTTGGCGTCGTCGTCGTCGTCCGAAGACACATTGGTTTTCAAACTCTAACTTTAGTTTAAGTGAATGGATCTCTATGAAATTTTACCACAAGGTTCAATACCACAAAAGGAAGGTTGGGATTGATTTTGGGGGTTATGGTACCAACAGTAAAGGAATTAGGGGCCAAAAAGGGGCCAAAAATAAGCATTTTTGTAACTTCCAGACATAACTTGTGTGTTAGTGTATGGATCTCTCTGACATTGTACCACAAGGTTCCATATCACAAAAGGAATGCTGGGATTGATTTTGGGGGTAATTGCCTCAAAATTTTTGGAATTAGGGGGCAAAAAAGGGGCAAAAAACAAGCATTTTTCTAGTTTCATGACAATAACTTGTGTGTAAGTGTATGGATCTTTCTGAAATTGTACTACAAGGTTCCATATCACAAAGGGAAAGCTGGAATTGAGTTAGGGGGTAATTGCCGAAACATTTAGGAATTGGGGGCCAAAAAGGGGCCAAAAATAAGCATTTTTCTAGTTTCCAGACAATAACTTGTGTTCAAGTGTATGGATCTCTCTGAAATTGTACTGCAAGGTACCATACCACAAAGAGAAGGCTTGGATTGATGATGGGGGTAATTGCCTCAATATTTTAGGAATTAGGGGCCAAAAAAGGGGCAAAAAACAAGCATTTTTCTAGTTTCAGGACAATAACTTGTGTGTAAGTGTATGGATCTTTCTGAAATTGTACTACAAGGTTCCATATCACAAAGGGAAAGCTGGGTTTGAGTTTGGGGGTAATTTCCCTAAACGTTTAGGAAAAAGGGGCCAAAAAACACATTTTTCTAGTTTCCAGACAATAACTTGTGTTCAAGTGTATGGATCTCTCTGAAATTGTACTGCAAGGTACCATACCACAAAGGGAAGGCTGGGATTGAGTTTGGGGGTGATGAATCATAAGGGGGTTCTAAAAATTTTGGGGGGGGGATTTTTTTTTTTTCCTTTTTTTTCTTTTTTTCCTTTTTTTTTTCTTTTAAAATTTTCCATTTTAAGTTGGTTATTTCTGATTTATATTTAAAAGCAAATAATAATGATATGGTAGGAGATACACACCAAACAGGATGTGTAAATTATTATATAATAAGTATTGTGCAATAGCAAGAAATTTTCAATTGCACAGTATTGCACAATAGCAAGAAATCTTCAATTGCACAGTATTGCGCAATAGCAAGAAATCTTCAATTGCACAGTATTGCGCAATAGCAAGAAATATCCAATAGCACAATATTGCGCAATAGCAAGAAATTGTCAATTGTACAGTATTGCGCAATAGCAAGAAATATTTAATTGCATAGTATTGTGCAAAAGAAGATACTTCGTATAAATTGCTTATTTCTTGACCAATTTCAATGGGGTTTTATTCTTGAATTCTTGGGGTTCTTTGATATGCTGAATCTAACTGTGTATTTAGTTTTTGGATTTTGGGCCCCGTTTTTAAATTGGTCCACATTGAGGTCCGAAGGGTCCAAAATTTAACTTTGTTTTATTTCATCAAAAATTGAATTATTGGGGTTCTTTGATATGCCAAATCTAACCGTGTATTTAGATTCTTAATTTTTGGTTCCGTTTTCAAATTGGTCTACATTATTGTCCAAAGGGTCCAAAATTAAACTTAGTTTGATTTTAACAAAAATTGAATTCTTAGGGTTCTTTGATATGCTGAATCTAAACATGTATTTAGATTTTTGATTATGGGCCCAGTTTTCAAGTTGGTCCAAATCGGGGTCCAAAATTAAACTTTGTTTGATTTCAACAAAAATTGAATATATGGGGTTCTTTGATATGCTGAATCTAACCATGTATTTAGATTTTTGATTTTTGGGCCCTGTTATCAACTTTGTCCACATTGAGGTCAAAAGGGTCCAAAATTAAACTTTGTTTGATTTCATCAAAAATTGAATTCTTGGGGTTCTTTGATATGCTGAATCTAACCATGTATTTAGATTTTGGATATTGGACCATAATAGGTGAATGTCCAATTTAAAATTTTTAAGTTCTTAGGTCTACCACATTCATTCTGTGTCAGAAACCTATGCTGTGTCAAATATTTAATCACAATCCAAATGCAAAGCTGTATCAAGCTTGAATGTTGTGTCCATACTTGCCCCAACTGTTCAGGGTTCGACCTCTGCGGTCTTATCAAGCTGCGCCCTGCGGAGCATTTTATTTAATCTTGTTGATACAACTCCTTTTGTGAAACTTTATTCACAAGAAAAACTTTCATATATTTTAGTATAAACAGATTTAGTGTTCAATATTTACACCAGGAGCTATTTGGGCTTAGTTTTTTTTCAATTTAGAAAATATTACTAATTACTGATTAAATTAGCGTTTTGTTCCAGTACAAAGAATTTTTAACCAGTAGGGAACTATGTATTGACATGCAATACTCTCAGAATGCTTGTTTCGATTTTCTACCTGATCTCTTCATTTAACATCATACATGTTTGAAGGAAATAGACAAAGTAAACAAACTAAAATTTAAAAACTGGATTGTATTAAAAAAAATTTGCCCTTATTCAAAGATTTCCCTGGATTATAAAGGATAATTTTGTTTTGCAGGAACTTATCAGTGAAGATTTAAGAGCGACGTTAAACGCCTTTCTGTACAGAACAGGAGAACAATCAAATAAGTAAGTTTGATATGAAAAAAAAAACTATGAAATATTTCAAATTGAAACAATATAATGCATTCATTTTAAATTAAATAATGACCGTTTCATTCAATTCTATGATTTTAATACAAATAAGAAATTCATGATGAAAATATTTGCAAGGAAAAAAGCTACAGCACAACCTCATGCAATAGTTTTACTAGTTATGGAAAGTTTACAGTTTTTTTATGCCCCACCTACAATAGTAGAGGGGCATTATGTTTTTTCGGTCTGTGCGTCCGTTCGTTCTTCTGTCCCGCTTCAGGTTAAAGTTTTTTGGTCAATGTAGTTTTTGATGAAGTTGAAGTCCAATCAACTTGAAACTTAGTACACATGTTCCCTATGATATGATCTTTCTAATTTTAATGCCAAATTAGAGTTTTGAACCCAATTTCACGGTCCACTTAACATAGAAAATGATAGTGCGATTGGGGCATCCATGTACTATGGACACATTCTTGTTTTAATATAAATGATAATACGCAGACATGACCAGATAACAGTTTTAAAGCTAAAAGCTAAACAGCAATTGAAGTTCCAGTTAAAATGTATGATATGACCTGTTAGTAAGCAAATAGATGTGGTCATCTGCCAATGAGACAATTACTCAACCAAAGAACAAAATACAAGGATTTAAACCACTGCAGGTTGGCATACTGCATTTAGCAATAAAAAATACTCGTACCTTACAGTACAGTAAGCTATAAAAAAGGCCTCAGAATGATAAAACTATCAACCTGTTGTAATTTAATAACATTATAAAAATAAGACATGCTCATATATTAAGTAATGTGGGGTGCATTTAAATGAGACTGCAACTTAATGTTTCAAAAACCAAAAGACATCTAGCCAAGAAGTATAGTCTACACCAGAAGACAGCGTCTATTTAATATGTGAAGGTCTGAATAGTCCTTCATATACAAAATTAATCGTCTGTTTTGTATTCTATGATTCTCGATGTGATTAGAATTATGAAATTTTTGGTAGATTTATCTGCAGTAAAGTCAGGGTGTGTTTGGTTGGTCTTCTGCCCAGAGTTCACAAGGTAGATGACATAATTAATTGATGTTTGGTTAACATCCACTGGCATTTTACATGCATATTGTGAATGAGTATTTTGATAATAATTTCTGAAGGCAACTGCCATTTTTACCTTTCTATCTTAACAAATAGAAAGAAGCAGCAAATGTGAATACCTATATATAAAGGATGTTACAGTCAACAAAATGATCACTTTGTTGTACAATCTCCCTGGATAATATGAACTAGTCAAAAGTTTTCAGTCATCAATTAAAAATGTAACTATGGTTACAGGTTTATGTTAGTATTAGCTAGTAATCAGCCAGAACAGTTTGACTGGGCAATTAATGATCGATTAGATGAAATGGTGGAGTTTGATGTACCTACGTTAGAAGAAAGAGAAAGATTAGTTCGACAATATTTTGATTTATTTGTTCTCAAACCAGCAGCAGAAGGAAAGAGGTATGTGTTCTGTTTGTACTTAGGAGACATTGACTTTAAACATTATTGATAGGAGAGTGGACACAAGGTCATGTCCAAGATTCATGGAAATAAAAGGGAGTATTCTTGGTTAGTCTGTTTTGGTTTCAGATTTAGGATATTACAATACTGTAAATTCAGAAATTATTGCGTGCATTTATTATTGCGATTTTGTCATTTTAGACTAAAATGCGATTTTAATTTTTGTGATATTGAGAAAAATCCTGTTTAACTCATAAAGAAAATTTCAACATGCGAGTTTTAATTATTGCGATTATAACCCGGTCGCATTTTTTTGCAATAATAAAAACATCGCAATAATTTCTGAATTTACAGTACATTTCAGACTTTTAGGATACTCTTTTTTGCACTTTACAGAACAGAGTACCACTGGAAATATTAAAAAATACAAAAAAGGAGTCCTTTCGCGGTCGAAGAAAATAAGTTTTTCACATGTTATCTTGACTAATTTATTTGAATATTTGTTGCATTAAAAAGATCAGAAAAGGGAAATGAAAAAAACATTTTCAAGGGTTGATGTGAATTGAAAATTTATGAGAAGATTTTACATAGACAAAAATACCTGTTATACTAGAAAATAACTGATGTGTCATAGGTATAGTCCTTTTATTGCAGTTCTTCATCTTTACAGTTACATGGTGGTCTTCATTAAAATAAGAAATAAAAGTTTGCATAGTGAGCATCAGCACATTTATAAAACTGATTAGATAAGTACAGGAAATGAAAAACATCTAGTCATTAAGCATGTTAAGTCAATATCTACAGCCTCAAAGTGAATGAATATAGCATGCTCAATTGAGCCTCTAGTTTAGTGATTAGTATAGCTAATTATTTCTGAAACTTGTGTTTTTGTCTTTTGATTAGGAGACTGAAAGTAGCAGAATTTGATTATAGTGCTAAATGTGCAGAGATAGCAGCAAATACTGAAGGGCTTTCAGGGAGAGAGATATCAAAATTAGGTGTAGCATGGCAGGTTAGTATAGACATAGTCAATAGTGTACAGTTGTTGTAATACTCTTAAATTTGAGGGAGAAAAATGCATGATATGTTGTTTTTATTCTCTAAATTTGAAGGTGTCACTGACAAAAATTGGATTAAATTTTCTTTAACCAATAACTGAAGAATACTTCTTTTTTCGATTTTGATAATTTCAAATTTTGTCATTCTAGAGTTGGGGACTTCAGTCATGGAAAATTTGACATTTCATCAAATGTTGTACAATAACTCAACTTTGTTGTGATAAACTTACTGTAAATTTTTTCACAGCCGGATAGAATCGACCAAAGTTATTTTCAAGTTTTTCATTTTTGTCTTTCCAGAGTTATGGGACTTTTTTTTTATGAAAAAATGAAACTTTTTCCACATATCATACTTCAGTATCCTTAGATTGATACCCTCAAAACTTTAGTGTTTTTGAAATAAATAAAAGGGAGATCTTTTTTAATTTTGAAAATGTCCTCGAAAGGCAGGACTTTAAACTGTTTGATTTAAGTTGACTTAAACTGTTTAATAAAAAAAAAACATGTTGAACCTTAACTCTTGATTATAACATGTACAAAGGTTTAGTTGAATATTCACAACTGTTGGAATTGAAATAGGTAAAAGTAAGAAACCTTTTTATTTGTCATTGCAGAGTTATTTGATGTTAACTGTCAGATTTAAGGCAATTTTTTACATATGACACTCTAGCTCTAGTATGCTTGGGACAAATTACTGCAAAATTATACATGTTGAGATTGGTGAAGATAGAACTCTTATGCTTTTTCTGGTTTGTCCTTTTAGAGTTATTGCACTTTTGACAATAATATTGAAGGCATTGTTTATAAGCCTAAGGATATCTTCTCTTCTGATTAGCTGCCTTTTTAATATTCCATTTTATTCTGGCAACAATTTCAACGTGCACAAGATTCATGTATCATGTGCACTTGGCACAGTTGTTTATTGTTTGTATGTTTAAATCTAGTTAGTATGCAAATTAATTTTCATTGTAAATATTCTGCTTTTCACATGAATAATTCATGAAATGATAAAGGAAAATCTGGCTGAATTACAATTCTACCTTCAGCTGTCTGATTGATGAAAAGGGGGGGGGACATTGAAACTATAATAAAAGAGGAAAGACATTGAACAGTTTTGGTTTAAATCCAAACGTGTAAACAAAAAACAAACCTTTTTATTTCCAAACTTCACAATTGAAAAGTTACACTTGACAGATTAGGCTCAAATTATGTATTAAAAAGACAATTATACGAGAAGAGTAATTTTTTGACAATTCTTGATTCAATGCTTTACTTGCTTTGTCTGTCAATTAATTAAGTTTCAATTTTATGAAATATTTCTTCAACTTTCCTGATGTTTTATGGAATTGCCCTGCATTGAACACAACATCTATAGATCACTTGTAAATACCAAAACATTTCACTTAAACCTTAACTTAATTCACAAAATATTTGTTGTCTACAGCTTATTTTCTTTCGTATGAAATCAACTGCAATAGTAAAATGAAGGTAGAATTTTGGTTTTGGGGTAAAGATTGCATCAAATGCAATAAAAAGCCTCGTGTAACTGGCTTGATATTAATATCTTCCAGACCTCCTCACTATCTTTGATAGTTCAACAATAAAGTGCAATGAGATGAACATTCAATGACCAAAGGAACATAACTCCAATTTTAAAATATTGCCTAAATGCATAGATGTTTCATTGTTGAATACAATTCAATGTTTACATTGCATAATGAAAGCAATCTGTTCCTACCAGTATTCACAAACACTTTGATTGAACAATATTTGTACAACTTCCCCTTATTGAATGTTATAGATCCAAATTTTCCACTTTTGTGTTTTAGGCAGCAGCTTATGCATCCGATGATGGTATTCTAACAGAGAAAATGATTGATGAACGAGTTCAGGACACGATTAAACAACATGCAAAGAAAGTCACATGGCATGAAGATCAAGATGCTAAAGCAAAAGAACATTTAGGATCAGCATATACATCTATAAAAGATGCTTCAGTGACTCCGGCTCCTACTAAAAATAGTTAACCAAACAATAACTTAGGTTTTATTTAATCAATTAAATGCTGGAATTTATCCTATTCCAGATTGAATTTAAGTGCCGAATTATACTTAACCAATACTGGTATTAGCCAACAAATTTGGCATGGCAAGTTAAAACGAATTTTCTGTTAGAAAGGCTGTGATAAATGTATGTAAATGGACCAAGTTACAGATTTGCATGTTCTACAATACAGTGGTGACAAGATCTTCAAGCCAGAAGTGTGGTATTGTTAGGCTCTGCATAAGACACACCATGACTTATCATCCCAGGTGTAGTCAATATAGAGTGTGTATAGAGATGTTATGTGTGTGTTAACTAGAAGCATGTGAAATCATGTTATTGCGACAGATTAAATAGTTGTGATTGATATGTTTTTAAATGTTGTCGCATACTACTGTAATCAGTACAGAAAATAATAAACCAGTTTTTTATTTAATATTTTTTATTCTTTAAATGAAAATAAATTTTAGTGCTTTTATTACCATCATCAGGATCAATACAATAAGAATTTTCTCCCTGGTGTACTAAATTCAGATACCTTAAAAGAGGTGTTGGCTATGATTTAGGCAAGAAATTAAAGTATGGTATTTTGTTTGTCTCAAACATTTATAAAAGCTGAATTTCAAATAAATTTTGCTGTAAGCAGTCAGTTTAATTTAATTTGTTGAAATAAGCTCAAAAACATCACTGATGTATTATTGGTTTGCAAGCCAGTAATTAAACCTCATTTGAATCCAGAAAATGGCTACTTCCGTTTTACTTTTTCAAAGTCATATGTAATGCTACCTTCAATTTTACCCATAGCTGGAGATTGGTCACACATGTGCTTAGAATGTTCAGTTATTGAAAAATAAAAAAAAGAAGTCACTGGGAAGAACCATTACTCTGACTGATTCTGCCCACGAAACGTAAGTCTCATGCAGGTAAAAAATGATTTACAATTTTTTTAATCTACAACATAAATTAAACAAACCTAGAAAAACTGGTCATGGTTTACAATTGCACATGTTTGTGTATTTATGTTTTAAGTCCATGTAGGGTCATATGAACACCTGCATTCTTCAGAGGTTTTCTCTATAGTTAATCAGATAGGGTCTTATCTTAAATACACAGGAAATGCTAATACATTTTAATGAGTCCATGCATTGTTATTGGTTTCTTAATTTTTTTTTGTAATTTTGAAATAAGTTTTGGCATATGATCAATTATAAGAATTTGAGTCAAATGGGTGAACAAGAACTTTACAGCGAATGCCCCTTTAAGTATGACATCATAATTAATAAAAGTTTCCAAAGTAACTTTATTTAATGAGAGTGTATATATGGTACATGTGTTCTTATTAGTAATCAATTATTTGAATATTGTACTGTAATCTATTGCAACTAATTATTTGGAGTAAAAGGACTATCATTGATTTTCTAATACCTACAAATGAAATGAAACAATAATATTGAGGTCATATATAGCTTACATTACGCTAAGTCAAAAACTATATTTTTTCTATATACTTTTGCTTCAAATAAGGGAGATAATGTGCTCCTTCCAGTCTACAAAATTCCACTGCTGGTTCATATGATGAGTTACTTCCCGCTGATTTGAAAAATATATGGTTTCTATGTACATTAATATGCAATTATTGTAAAAATGGCTACTTCGGGTTTACTTTTTCAAAGTCATATGTAATGCAACCTAATACAAAAAACGTTGTGGCTTTATTATGAAACAGTATGAAGTTATAGCATAGTCTTAATCTAGAACATCAAATCAACCTTTGATCCTGACCTTAATTTCAAGGTCAAGTATCAAGGATCTCAAACCAAAAGGCCCGGCCAAGTCTAATATGTATGATTAAGAAGATATGCTACCAAACAGTTCATTTTGAATATTTAAGTGAAGAAAAAAAAAAAAAATCATAGATATCCGGATGATAATGTGAACAGTAGACGCAAGTTTCGTTTAAAAAAGAAAAATTTCAAAAAGGTTTTGCCAAATACAGCTAAGGTAGTCTATTTCTGGGGTAGAAAATCCTTTGTATTTCGAAAATTTAATGTTTTGTAAACTAAATTTATAATTATGACCAAATCAATGATAATTCATGTCACTTAACACTGTCAAAAGTGCTGACTACTGGACTGGTAATAAAAAAGCATTTCAACCCAAATGTATTGCCTTTGCAGCAAGTTGTAACTTGTATATACAAATAGACAAATATATTCTGTTGATAACTTTAACGGTTTCTGCGGAGTAGCGATATAGAGCAAAGTTCAAAATTCAGAACATGACCATGGTATCCTTTGATAGAAAATCATTAAACTTAGTTTGCCAGTTAATCATCCGCAGTTTGCACATTAATAACCTGTAGAAAAATGTCTTTAATTTTCAACCAAATTTTTTTTTTCTTTCAATATCAAATTTTCTTGAAACTCCATGATTCCATTCATGTTTATCGCACTCGAATATATCATCGTAAAATCAACATAGTGTTTACATGAGATATGAAAGTATATATTTGGCAATTGAAGCGTAAGCCAAGAAAAAAAATTCTAATGCACCAATCACGTTCAAGTATATGTAGATATGCAAATTATATCTGAATTATTTTCGTATAAATTAGAGATTATTCTCCTTAATCTTATTTGTATTAAAGTTGTATAATTCTTACATTTCTATAACATTTTTTTAACGTTTTTCTAATAAAACAGAGGCACAGGAACACTTGATTAAAACTGGTACCTTCATATATGTTCTTCTATGTCCTTTGGTATCTGGTGAATAGTTGTCTCATTGGCAATAACACATCCTCTCCTTATTGTCTCATCGATTGACCGGGGGGCACAGGGGGCACATGCCCTCCCCCCCAGTCTGGCTCACCAAAACAATTTCTAACATAGTTTTATTGCTACTGTATCTCTTTATCTAGATATCAAGATAGAAAATCAAGACACAGCTTCCTAAATTGGTCGTTAATTAACCCCAGCTTCATCATGCATGATTTATGACAACTTATCAATAGGTGTGTAAATATTGACACCTTTGTGTAATTTCTTTATTCTGAAACTGAATGTCGTGTTTCTTTTCCCCTAATTTTTTTTTATGGAAACCAACGATTTGTCTTTACCCCCACCTCCTTTCCACAAAACATGAATGGTCTGTGTCTTATATAAGTGGGGCAGCTTAGTACCGAAATTTGACAAAATCATGCAAATGGTGATACAAGTATAGGATTTGGCACATACATGCTTTAGGGTTTACTTTAGCATATTAGAGGGGTAGCCAAGATATTTTGATTTTTTTAGCGGCGGCCATTTGAATCTAAATTTGACATCATTTTACTCTATAGTGGAGGTTGAAAACAAATCCACTCCTTTTTTAACGTGATATAGGTGATGAAAACTATTTGAAATACAACAAAATAACATGAAAATATGTCAAACAGACAGGATTTGTAAAAATAAATCGCCACTTCAGGTTAAGGTGGTAAAAGTTCATACAATCGAGTGAAATAATGGGGGTAAGGATATTCGATAAAAATATCCGTTTGATAGATAGGTAATTATTTAAGATATGCAGGAAGGTCGATTAATGTATTATTTTACGATATTTTCCGATGTATTTCGTACTAACAGCTACAGGAACACAATGTTGTACAGGTCAAACCAGCTTTATAACAGTTGTATCTACCAGAACAAGTTTTCTTGCATCCACATTTGTGTGACTCCTGGCAAGATGCTGCAATGGCTGTTAATTGTGTCCAATTCGGAATCCATAACCATCTGCAGTCTCCTTAATACATCCCCAATCGCCCGAACTAGGTAGATGTTGTTCATGTGTGACTGCCTGTCCCCGTACATGACCACCTTGATATGCAGATCGTTTGGTGTGCTCGAGTAGTGCAACTCTGGTGAGCGGAATTGTGTCATACTGCCTTTGTTTACGTGCAAACAATTCAAGCCTGGATTCATTGATGTCAGATGTTGTTGTAGTTCTGTCGTACATAACTACAACAAATGCCTCTTTAAACTCCATATCAGCTTCACTGACCAATGCAGGTTTTTATACTCAATCGCCCAAAACACCTCGGTTACGTCATCAAATATTTTCCACGTCTGCTATGTCGACTTCTTTCCCTTTCCATGGCAAGCGGAGACAGTGTCACATCCAGTGAAAGCATGAAAAAATGGCAAAGCTTGTGATTTAGGACCAAGAGCATGATCAATTTCCAAATGCAACCCTAAGTTTTTCTACTCGTAGTGTCTTCAAAAGAGACACTGCCAAAACCACCACATCAGTGTCTGGGCTGATTATCAGTGTCGACTTACATCCCCTTTCAGCTGTACTTTTGATATGAACAAATATCCTTGTGTCTGTCTACTTCCTTGTGAGTACAAGGACTGAGACTATCATGGTCATAAGAATTTGTCATAACATATTCGCCTTTTGTCACAAAAATCATTTTGTCAGATGGAATCGAGCAAATTTTATCGGCAAGGAAATTAAAACAATTCCGTCTTGTTTTTCGTCCACTCTAAGGAATCTCGACCAAGCTTTTGTAGTCTTACTGTTGACACAACATCTCTGACCATATCCATCGAATGTTTTATGGTAGCAACTGAGTGAGCCTGTTTCTGAAATAATGGCATTTAGCAAGCAAGACTCATTTCAACAGTCGGTCCTTGCTTCTCTGAAAAATAAAATAATGACCATGATATATTTTCTGATGTAATAAATTCACCCGACAACCTAACCGTATTTAACCACTCATACCATTCTGTAAACTCATGAATAGATAGTCATGGTTTAGAATGCCAGTTACATCCCCGGACAGAATAAGGGGTTCTGGCTTTGTTTTAAAATATGCAGGTTTCATATTCATGTAAGCATCAGGGAGTTCAGGTGCCTTTTTAGACTTTGGTTTACTTGTAGGTAACATTATTTGATCCCTTCCAACACCAACAGTTTCTTTCATTGGATGTTGAAAAATAGAGATTCCGGTCCCATGAAAAGATGATTTCGATGTTGTTGAGCTTGGTTTGTGGTCTATGTTGTCGACCGCAGCTGTGGTAAACACTTTGCCGTTTAATAAAAGCGGACAAACCACACCCTCATTCAAATAACGTTCAATTACAGCTTCACCTAATTGAGTTGATATTTCCAGTACCCGATCATACGAGATGCATACCCATGTTGAAATAATGTATCTATAAGCTGTCTCTTCCTGGTTTTTGCAAAGAGTAACAGTCAAGTTACGCACAAAATTCTGTCTCACGATAAGCTGAATGTCTGTGTTGGACTGGAACTTTCTGGGTGTTTGAATGGTATTTAAACATTAACAGTTGGGCCAGAGCTAAGTCGGACTTTGTAGAAACGTTGTAGAACTGCGATTTGATATCAGGACCATGCTCTATCATTTTCACCAACTGTAACAAAGGAGGTGGTAAGCTGTCATCGATATCTTGAGAGACCAAGGATCCAGAAAATGTTGTCTTCTTATTAGCTAACTGGCAGCGAATCATTTCGGCCGTCTTTTCCATATGCATGGTGTCAATGTATTCACAAGCAAACGCGATAGCTGGTCCTATATCTTTTTCAAAAATCAAAAGGACATCTCTGCCTTTTGTGTGTGCTTCTAGTTCTGGCATCTTCTGCAAAAGCTTGTCCTTCAGGTGCGTAGATTGTACCTGTGCAAAAGAAGAACGAAGTTCTGTCAATCTTTCTTTGTATAAGTTTGGCATGTCTGCTAATCGAAACACCACTGACTCTTAAGAATTTCTTTGAGTTTCAAAGATGTATGTTACCAGCTTAGCTAATGCAGTTTCTTTCATCATATTTTCATCCTGAGTACAATTGCTTTCGGCCTCTCTTTGACTCTTCTTTGCTCTGTTTCTGGGGTATACAGTTGCGAGACAAGACGGGTGATACTTCATTTCTTGTGCTATGACATAACCACTACTTAGTTTTGCCAACAACTGTTTATCGATCCTGTAGCACTGTTGCACATTCCACTAATTGTTTGTTCAGTTTCATTGTCATTGCCTCTCTTTAAGCGAATAAAGGCGACTCTTTATCACAAATGAAACATTGATTTAAAAATAAGGAGATGTGGTATGATAGCCAATGAGACAACTATCCACCAATGTTCAAATGAAGTGGATGTATGCAATTATAGGCAACCGTACGCATTTTCAACGGGATCTTGTTGTTGGTCTTTCGAGCGAGGAGTACTTCTATGGAGTTTAGGGGTCTTGCTTGCACTCGAACTTCCAGATGGTATTGATGACATATGGCGTTTCTGAGCTCTCTAAAAATTTGTATTGTTAAAATTTATTCTGCATAAATAATGGTACTTAGCATTTTTCTTTTTCATTGTGCTTTCTATACTCTCTCCGTCGTTCAAACTCCGAATATCTAGAGAGATAGGTAATGCATTTACATTTTATATCCTTCACCTGATTCATAGGGTACGTTGTGTCTTCCTAAGACAAACAACATTTTTTTCCAATCTGTTTCCCAACTGTCTGTTGAGGAAGCTGACATGCGAATTCTTTTCGCCATTTCAAAAATCAACTATTATATGAATAAACTACAGTGATCAACAATGTAACGATAAAACAATAACGCAAATATTGTCTGAGTAAAATATCTTAACACTTCTGATATTTAGGCCGAGGGGTTATACTTTTACCACCTGTTTAGCACTTTGTTGTATGGGATAGAACTGAATTCGGTTAACACAATTAAAAGTTTGCCTTCATTCAACCCGATCGTTCATCCAGTACCATTTAACTCCCGAATAAGCCCCTCCTCCTTGGCTCGGTTTCTTCCCGTGTTAGCACATCCTGTCGATTCAGGTTCGACTCCATGACTTAATAATTGGAGCAATCATGGAGTATTTGGGAGCACTTTAATCTTATAAAGCTGATACTGACCCCATGCCGAGATTACCGGCAGTGATTTATACCAGTGTGCCCTGGAAGTACAAATAAATCACTCTCTGAAAGACTTCTAGTGATACGTGATGAACATTAAGTAATGAATGGTAATGAATGACATTTGACAAAGTCATGCAACATCACAATGGACGGATGCCAAGGAATGGTTAAGGACTCCAAAGACTAAACATTAAGAATTAATTATGAATAAGGTCAGAAGACGAATCCCAAACGATGATTCAAATAAATAACTATCAAAGTACTATGATTTAAACATTGGCGTGTGGTAGTTTGGGTCAAATGTAAGATATTTATAAAACCGGAAGTGAGTTATCGACCGATATTTGACCGGAAGTGATGTTTTAATACCACAATCAGACAAATAAACTTTCATTCACTCAACCTAGTAACATTTTGTATGAAATACAAGCAATATGTATGCAAAAGGGAACATACATTTGATGTGTTTTACCTGGATGGACGCCATTTTGAAAATCAAAGATGGTCGCCATGATCGGATGAATTTTTTTCGTGGCTACCCCCTTAATATGAATAAATACACCTTAAGGCATGTTCTGACAAAATTTCATGCTTGTATCACCATTTCCATGATTTTTGTGGTAAGCTGCTCAACTATAATCATTAATAAAATGATATTATATTTTAGAAACCTACTTATAGTACAGTAATATGTGTATATTTTTTCTTGTTTCAATTTCCATGTATGAGGGTATGAATAGGTTACCGTGAATAAGGGTATGAATGGTTTACCGTGAATGATGATATGAATGGGGTTTACAGATTAGAGAATAATGGTCAAAAAGTAAAGACTACAAAAATTGGCCCAAATATATATATATATAGAAAACAGATTAAAGGTGTGATGAACTATAAAGAATGCAGGACAATTGGCAGCAAATAAAAGAGAAGAAAGAAATGGACCTAAAAATAATGAAAAGATATAGAAAGGAAGACCCGACACCCCACCCCACCCCTTCCGCGACCACCATCATCCAATACATGACATCACCACCACCCACACTCGCATATATACATATCTAAACAAATCCTTAATTTTGGTTTTTTGATGCCCCTCTCCCCCCCCCCCCCCTCACCCCAGACATCGAGGTTCTAGATCCGCCCCTGTAGTTGACGAAGTCAAAAAGCGAGACAAAGGTAACGGTTGTTTCCGGTGTCTGCATCAACAATGTATTAGTTTGTGATTAGATCAGTTTATGGGGAACCACTAGTGGTAGATCAACGGTATTTGGTATGCAGTTGTATCAGCATTGGCACATTTCATTTCCATGGAGATTGTTTGGCCCCGTCCTCTCAGTCAAGGTCTTTTGACTTTTAAACTTTGCTTAGTTTACATGTATTTGTTTGTGATTAGGTCAGTTTATGGGGAACCACTTGTGGTAGGTCTATGATATTTGGTATAGGTATTAGCGTTGGCACATCTCATTTCCATGGAGATTGTTTAGCCCTGTATTGTTTTTTTAGCTCACCTTTCCAGAGGAAATGTGAGCTTTTGCCATCACCTGGCGATCGTCGTCGTCCGTCGTCGTCGTCCGTCCGGTGTAAACTATTTCAAACATCTTCTTCTCTGAAACTACTGAACCAATTCCAACCAAACTTAAACTCAATGATCCTTAGGGTATCTAGAAAAAAGTTTGTGTTTTATTTTCTGTTTCGCCAAAAAACATGGCCGCCATGGCTTAAATTAATATATATTGAAAAGCAAAAATACTCATTGATGAAAGATTTAAGCAAACATTACAGGTGAGCGATTCAGGCTCTTGAGAGCCTCTTGTTTTATTACAACATTTGCATTTTACTATCAAAATATCAAAAAGGCGAGACATATCTCTGTGTTAACAGTTTATTTTTATATACAAAACGCATTTCTATGTAAACACAAAGAGATTTTATGTGTACCTGTACCTGTAAGTAGAGGTACAAACTGTAAGGAACAACCTGTATAATCTGAACAATCTCTTAATTTGAGTAGTGATTTCCTGAAAACCAAAATATTGTAAATTTTATAAAAAAGGGTATGGATGGGGTTTTACAAAATAGAGAATAATGGGCTAAAAACTTAAAGAATACAGAAATGAAGGACCCCCATCCAGACCCTCTTATATATTCAATAACATTCATTAACATTTTGTTTATCAGTACATACACAATTCCTGGATTTCCCTTTTAAATTGAAACTTAAAACTTCTGAACATAAAACTTTAAGTCATTAAATGTTTTTTAACAACACTATATTAGTATTCATGAAATCGTGCTTGTTACAAAAACCATCAAGATTCCAAGCTTCTCTTGACGTACCCTGTTAAATTCCACTGACTACCCAGGGAATAATCAGCTGACATATAAATTTTTGTTCAGAGAGTACTAAAATAACACTACTAAGATTAGCCATTGCTTATGTTCCTTTTAATAGTTAATAACATTGGATTTGTTACCTTATGTCTAATAATAGTGGTGTCTACTCTTTTATTCTATTAATTTACACAAAAATCTGTAGACATTTGTTTGTTTTTTTCTTTTTCTTTTTCTGCTCAAACACATAATATGATATATATATATATATATAGAAAAAAATAGGCATTGTAATTAAAACAGATATTGAGTAATACTTTTCTGTGATTTTGTATCTAATGATTAGGTGTTTTCTTCTAGGTTACAAAAATTACACATATTAGGTGTGTTATTTTCCATTGTAATAAAATCTTTTTTGTTGGAATAATAAACTGTAATAATTTCCATATTGAGATTTTTAATTTATTTAAAGTTAAATATTAAAAAAAAGGTTATACAATAAATTCATGTTAGGAGTTTCTTGCATTAGTAGAACTCTAAGCCAACCTGTTAATCCCTATTGTTGATTCTTTTTTATTGCATACTAGTAAATTAAATAAAATTTTATTTAAAAAAATATGTAGTCTTAAAATAACGATTTTTGGTTAATGGCTCTCCAATTGAAAATTGAAACTGGAAGTTTCTTAACTAAAGGTATTGTCTCGTGAAAAATCATCGTAACAAGTAAGGAAGACGACAACCATTTAGTATATGGCTATGTCAGTTTAAATTAAATGAGTTCGTATACAATCAGAAAGAGCATTAAATTATTCTTTGTTATGTAATTCTATAATATGTTTTACTGTTTGTTTATAAACCCTATATTGATGTTCATACTTTTTATTTCTTCAATAAAAAAAATATCATTTTCTTCTGTTCTATTATTAATGAAAATAATTTATTTATGTTCATCAGCTGTTACAGTTATTTCAAGGTCATCAATATCTGCTTTGGTGTCCACTGCTCTTTGACACATTGTACTACAAAGGCAACTCAATGCTCCCATAATTAGTAAAGTACCTGAAATACATAAACAATTATAATTTTGGCCTAAATATACTACTGCAACAGTTTGTCATCCAACTCCTATGAAACCACACAACAGAATATTGTGGAACTTTGTAGATAATAAGGACATTCTATGTAGATGTGCATATCGACAGAAAATTATGATTCAAATATTTTTCTAGGCGTTATGCCCTTTGAACTTGGAATTTTGGCCTAAATATACTACTGCAACAGTTTGTTCTCTCAACTTCTCTGAAACCACACAATCGAATTTCATGAAACTATGGAGATGCGCATATCAACAGGAGATTAAGATTCAATTTTGTTCTAGGAGGTATGCCCCTTTGAGCTTAGAATTTTGACTACTGCAACAGTTTGTCATCTCAACTCTTCTGAAACCACACAACAGAATTTCATGAAACTTTGTAGTTAATGAGGACATAATATGTAAATGTGCATATCAACAAGAAATTGTTATCAGTTGACTTTTGTAGGAGTCATGAGTCTGTGGAGGCATGGGATATGTGAGCGTGCTCACAAAGGTTCTTTAATTCGATGTAAAATTGAGATTTTGAACAGAGTTTGTAATAAAATCAAAGCACCAAGGGCGCTATAGGCAGTTGATTAAAAAACCCCAAGGCAAACGTGGCAGAAGCTTAAGTTAAGATGAATATTGTGGACGAATTTGTTTAATTATTTATCTCAGCTATTTCAAGTTAAAAAAATGTTTGTACCTTAATGTTTCCGCTATCCAATCCTACCATTTTCAAAAGTTATTTCTAATTTATCTTAAATATGTTTCCTTTAAAATGAGCCTTAAATAAAAAAAATTATAGGCCCAGAAATAACTCAAAAAATAATTAAAGTAAGTTCAACCTAGACTTATTTCTTGCATCAATTAAATTCTATAATAAACAAGAAATAATTGTAACAGGATACTGTTACGAAGTCTCCCAAACAAAGCTCCTATAATTCCCATGGTCGCCTACAAATTGGTTTGGTCAAGTAAAGTGATATGCATATGTGACGCCTAGGAGATTGAACCTGTATGTCATTCAAACATTCTTAAGTTGACGAGCAGGAATATATATGGTTTAGGGGTGGGGATCTGGACCGTTTTCAAGTTCTCAAAAGGTGGGGGTTGATCCCCAGGGGACTCTCCCTTTATTTCATTTGATTTGTTTTAATGTCCCATACAAGAATAATTATATATATGGTTTCCGGGTGGGGATCTCGACCGTTTGCAAATTTTCAAAAAGAAGAGGGCTGGGGTGTCCCCCATGGACTTATAATCCCCTATATTTTATTTTATTTGTTTTATTGTCTCATACAAGAATATATATGGTGTTGGGGTGGGGATCTCAACCGTTTACAAGTTCTCAAACAAGAGGAATTTAGTGAACCCCCCAGGAGCTCCCCAATATTTAATTTTATTTGTTTTATTGTTCCATACAAGAATATGTATGGTTAAGGGGTGGGGATTTCGACCGTTAACAAATTCTCACACAGGAGGGGGTGGGGTTGACCCCCGTGGACCCCCTATATTTCATTTTATTTGTTTTATTGTATCATACAAGAATATGTATGGTTTAGGGGTGGGGATCTCGACCATTTACAAGTTCTCAAACAGGGGGGGGGGGGGTTGACTCCCTGTGGACTCCTCCTATATTTCATTTTATTTGTTTTATTGTACCATACAAGACAATGTATGGTTTAGGGGTGGGGATCTCAACCGTTAACAAGTTCTTAACAGAAGGGGATGTGGTTGACCCCAGGGGACTCCCCCTATATTTGATTTGATTTGTTCTATTGTCCTATCATCATTACTGAAGATTGTGTGTGTCTATCACTTACTGTTTTCAAGTAATAGTCATTTGAAAATTGAAAAAAATAAAATCCCATAGTGTTCTATAGTATACCCCTCCCTTATTTAGGCCCCTCAAAATACCCCTAAATAGACCCCAATGCACAAACGAAAGATTGAACTCCGCTAGACATGTTAGTCTAACATTTTATGAAACCTAAGTAAATCTGACAAGCGGTCCGAGTTGTCTTCTAAGACGGTCAGAGTGGACTCGGTCCGACTTGTCTCGGGGACGAGTTGTCCACATCTTAAAACATCCCATCAACGTCGATTTTCGGATCTTTTTCACTCATAAAAACAACATTCATAAAAACAACAACTGTCAAGGTCAGTGATAAACGGGATAATATAATAAATTAAAGGAATTCAAATGTTCATACATTTAATAGAAATAAATAAAATAATCACAATCTTCTTAAACGAAAAGAACATCATTATTAACAAAACTTACTTTAAAACATCAGAATTTTTACCTTACGTTTTGTGTAAGTTAAAATTACCGCCAACTTAGACTACTACATATAACTTTATTTCCTCTATCATAGAGATTTGGTGTACATGAACAATATTCCTGCGCCTTTGGCCATTTGGGAAATGTAAACGACTTGTAATTAGAGATTTTCGGCGATGAAATATTTCATACAATTGTTCTTTGACATCTTAGCCAAAAGCACATGGGATGATAAACTACGTACGGATTTCTATTGAGCACTACTTCCTACGTGCAACTTCAAAAGTTTTGGGTAGTTCGATGATCATTTAAGGTTTTTTTGGTCATATTTTTTGTATTCAAGAATTGAAAGTATGAAAAAAGTGCCCAATTAGTTATTAATAACATATTAGCCAGCTAGATAATAACAATAGCAATTTTTACACCATTAAGTGGGAAGAACACAAATCTAGGGTGGTAGCATATTAGCAGCTTTACTGCCTAAAAAAACCGTAGACCAATTGACATCACATATAAATAAGAGAGTGACTGCGGCGATATTCTGTCCTTTACTGTACACAAGTTTGAAATACGAATTTATTTTTGGTTAAAATAGATCCACTTTTCGCAAGTCCTTATCTGTACACTATGGAAGCGTCACAGTGGGAAGCGTATAATAGTCACGAGTTGTTGAGTTATTTTTCCATTCTGTTGACTTGCAACAATGCGACAAGATGTATTGTATGTCGACAAGTCAGCTTGATTGTGTATACTTTTGACACTTCATTTCTCTGACTTGAATAAAGTTTACTTGTGTTATTAGGGAAAGTAAACATCCCGCAATTAGAGTTGTAATTATTTTCTCATTTTTCTGACTTTTCTTATGTCATCTTGCCCTGTTCACCAAGAGTATGTCACCACGTGAACATATGAAAAATAATTAATTGAGGTAAATGTTTTAAAAATGTCTATTAAATGAAAGTCGACATGTTCTTTATAAGTCAGCAAGTAGACAATAGAAAAGTGTATTTGACTTGATCTTAAATCGAGGGGAAAGCCGCCATTCTATACATGTCTGTGTAACTCGATTGGTAGGTGTTATGTTGTGTCTATAAGGGACAGTAAACAATAGGAAACAAACTAATAAAATGTAGTACTACCTCAGTTACGTGTAGTGACTGTCTTTTGTTATATCTTAAGAAAGATTGGGTTTAGATTAAAGGAATAATGATGTTGTTCATTCTTTGACAAAGTGTTGTTGACAGCATGCAATTTTCTTAAATAGTTGACATCATGCAATTTTCTTAAATAGTTGACATCATGCAATTTTCTTAAAAAGTTGACATCATGCAATTTTCTTAAATAGTTGACATCATGCAATTTTCTTAAATATTATTAAGTATTTCAAGCTACATGTTGTGCTAAATTGTCTGATTTTGTAAGGACTAAAAAATTAAAAAAGCTTTTGTGTGACTAGTCAGAAGCCTTATTACTCAGAGTTCATACCTGTTCCGAATGAAAAGATTGTTCTCTTTCACTTATGACAATCTAATAGTACGAACACTTTTCTCTACTTTCTGCTGATTAAAATAAAAGAGTAGATAATAAGAGGGCAAGCGAAAACCATAAGTCCAATAAAAATAGACCACTACATGGAAAAAACACATAAAGACGACAAATAGCAAAAAACAATTAAAAAACTTAAAAATTCGAGAGCTCAAAAAATATCACGTACTCAATACACGTTAAAATTATAGAATATGGTCATCGATGACAACTGTGTTATGTCTACTGTGAATGCAAGCAGTCCACCATTTGACGAAACTTCACTGTAGACCTTGATTAAAAGCAATGTGTCATTATCTTATGCAACTCTTAAAGGGTTTCAATCGATAACTGAGTCATCAATAACCGTACAATTGAGATATTTACAAGTGATTGGTAATTTTTATTTATGGTTTTGTTAATCACATTCACATCTCGTTGCATTCTCTGAATTTATAAAAAGACCGTCGAAAAGATTTTTTTACACTAGAATCTTTGTTTTCACATTTTTGACACCTTCAGAACTACCGCATGCTTTTGTTGTGCTTATCATTTGGTTGTGATTATGAATATTCCCAGTTGTATCAAAAAGATTCAAATAAAGTGTTATTTTTCTTTGATATCATTTAAAGTTTAAAGTTATGCATACCTGCTACTGTGAAGGAATCTCCATAAGTACCACCATAATTAATGATAAATCCTAACAAATAAAAACGGATTATTATTATCCATATAAAATATCTATTATTGTCTTTTAAAATATTATATTTACATTTCATTCCAAAATCAGTCGGCAGTGTTTCTATATTTATATTACTAGGCAAGCACGAGACCAGAGGTTTAGAAAGCCATGTAAGAGTACGAAAAGTCGAAAAAGAAAAAGGATGTAATAGATCAGTCATAATCGTCTTGGAGCAGTATTCATTCATAAAAGTCCTACTAAATCTTTCAAGTTACTTCAATTCAAAGTTTAAATTTAATCAATATTATATATCAAATAAGGATTACACTACTATGCAGTCAAAGGGCGCTTTAGTTAATTTCTATCCTCATTCTTCAAAAATATTCTGCCTGTCAAACACTCGTCAGATCATTTTGCCTGACTGCAAAGTGCACATATTTTAAAATATAATCGCGGTTGCAGTAAAAATATGTATGAAAAAATATAAAGAATAAAAATCACCTGCAAGTGGCGGTCCTATGAATGTTCCGACTCCAACATATACCATGAGATAACCAACACCATGTGCGAGTTTCTCATGTCCTAAAATTTTTATAACTATAGTATTCACAACTGTCCAACAGCAACCAGAATATCCGCCAAGTAGGCAAGCAAACATAACTTTGGCCGTTGTATATGAACTGAATAATGGAAAGATCATGGTACCTAAGCCTAACAAACTAAACACTCCAAATAGCATTATTAATTCATTAATGTTATGGCTGTTATTAGCCATACCAAATAATATCCGTGTAAAACAGCCAGATATACCGGCTATTGATAAAAATATAGACACTTCCATTTTCGATGATTTTGTCTGGAGACAATACTCAGGATAATGTATATAGAGTAGAGAAATGCTTATATTTGCCAGGAAGAATCCTAAACATACAGGAAACATTGATTTACTCCGAACTATCTCCATATAAGACGACACAGAATCACACAATCTTTCCTTACGATTTGCATTTGCGGTTTTCATTGCAAGTTCTGTTTTAGATGGTCGAAATGTGGCACCGAACACACAGTTTTGCAATGCAAGGCCTCCTAATAGTAGAAAAAATCCGGGATAACTATATTTCTCGTATATTAATTGGAAAACAGGAGTAAGAATGAAAGGTCCAATTCCGCCACCCGATACAGCTATGCCACACGCCATGTTACGTTTCTGTTCAAAGTTAAACGCTATCACTATCAAACCTGTATTGCAACATAACCCAAGTCCTATTCCTGAAAAGCAATTATATTCAGATTACTGATTGATTGATGGTGGTTAATGTCACTTTCTGCACTATTTGATATATCATGGCGGTCAGTTTTTATTGGTGGAGGAAACCGGAGTGCCCGGAGAGAATCACAGACCTTGGATCGGCAGGAAAACTGACCGTCTTAGTCAATTAAGATTTGATAAGAACTTGCGGGGTTCGAACTAACAACTTCAGTGTTGACAGGCTTGTGGTATAGTAGATGGACTATAAAGACCATTCTGCCACCTCGGCTCCTTTTCATTAAAATGATCCTTAAATGAAAAAATGAAATTGCTTTTTAACTTTTAACATCTTTGACAAACAAACATATGTATTTGCTAATGAACATGTTTGCTTGCCCGCACATGTGCTCTTAATCTGTAGATCGGCACGCTGGCTATAGTTCTGTTGAAATTCGTTCGCAGTCAATAGTACTTTCGGGTGTGATTGTATACGTTTCATATTCATCCACTTTGAAATACTTGAGGATGTCAATTATGATGTGTCCTAGCAATAATAGTATCCTAATATCAAAGCAATTGCAGTTGTCCATTCTGATACTTAATTGACACCAATAGGCTCCAAATATTAAAACCTTGATACAAAATTTTCATTTTTTGTTATAACATTTATTTTTAATTATCTTTGTAATTTACATGTGATACCTAGAAAACAAATTGTTGTCAATGTAATAAAATCTTACACACAAGCGTAAATATATATTCCCTAATTAACAAATGAATGACAAACGAATCATACATTTGAAACTTAACTGCTACAGTCATTACTTTATGGTGTTAAAAACGCCGCAAATGCATGGTTTCGTGCGTTTGATCAGAAAAGCGTTTAACGAAATAGAAGTAAAACAAATCAGTTATTATTGTCACAATGGTGTGTGAGAGTGCCAATTGGTTTCGCAATATCAACAAGTTTTAAATCCTACTTTTTATAGTTCTAATTAGGTCAACGTTGATATACATATACCAAACGTTTAATGATTTATGTTAATATTGGCAAGTTGGAAAACGCAAAGATTCTGTTACCCTTTTTTATTCGAGCAGGACTGATGACTCTTGTAGACGAACGCGCGTCTGACGTACACATATATAAACCTGATATCTTTGATGAGTTTTGTTTTATATGAACTCTGATATTTAAGTCAAAATGATTTTTTTTTGTTTCGTTTAATTGTTATTTAAATCAACATTCTCTTTTATAAACAGCAAAGATTTAAAAGACCCCTGAATGCTGATGTGTCACATTTCCTTTACGTTCCATTAAGTACCAAGATTTAAAAGACCCCTGAATGCTGATGTGTCACACTCCCTTTACGTTCCATTACTAACCTTTGTTCTGCAATGTTATGATAAAAGCAACGAACTTCAGCGCGGTTAATTTTCCTTCTTTATAGTGTTTAATGTCGTTTTTGAATACAGGTTCCAATTTTTCAGAATAATTTAAGTTGCTAAGGTGATCGCATACATTCCAAGGAATAGAATGATAATTGCTGAGAAAGACGACGATCGTTTCTTGGTGAGAAACGCATAATTTTTATTTGTGATGTGTTTCTATCGTCCTTGCGAATTTTTGTCATCCATTCGTTCCGTTAGTTCATTTATTCTAACATTTGATTTTGTCAGGTTTTATGAGTTGCCCCTTTTGAATTTTTTTTTAATTTACCTTGGAGTTCAATATTTTTATTTATACTTTTTATCTTGAACGTTACTATTTTTACCTGAAAGAATTCCAAATGTAAGATATGTCCATTTGATATCCTCTACAAACCCTGTTAAGACAAGTCCTGTTGATAACATGAGTGATCCTAGTATCATAGCCACTCTACAACTAAATCGGTTGATGATGGCACTGGCAATAGGTCCTGAAAACATAACAATGAGGGATTGCAACAAACAAGGTAATTAATATTGATATATCGTATATAACAGAAATATGGGAATATGAACTAGGCTGCGTTTGCAGCAAGTTTACATTCTCCAGTCTTCATCCCCGTCGAACAACTTGTAGAACCTACATTTGTACCATTCTGTATTTCTTGTATGTCGGTTCTCGTCCTTAAATAAAATGCATGAAATATTCACCATTGGAGGTTAAGCAAACACCGATTAATTGAGATAATTTCCTATTTATTAGATATCCTAACGTAATCAATACATCCGCAACCGTCCAGTTAAGATAACGAACCCTTCTAATTACTGCTAATAAAGGAAAACTAAATTCATAGAAACATGTTTGTTATGTGTATCGTTTGCATATGGTTTTCTTAACTCTGTCTCTTGTTTTGTTTAAGCGCGCACAAATTTGACAGCGCGGGGTGAATGATTTCACAGTCACGTCAAACTGAAATTACTGGGGTCGTTTAACTAGGTACATGATCAGTTGTATGATAGACCCTCTGAACGAACTGGGCCCTTGCATGTGCTTTTTCAAAGGGTCGTCCGTTTGATTGGGTATTGATATACAGCAATAGAGTGGACGAATACACAGCTAGTATGTCCATTGACTTTTGAAATAAATAATAGTAATTAAATGACTGTAGAGCAAGTGGGAGGAATTGCGCACTGTAAAACCTGGCTCGAACAACCAATTTCATTCTAAATAGCTTGTACCAATTCAGAACTACGACAGTCGATTGCCATTTTTCAACATTTCTTAATAAGTTAAATTCCTTAATATTGCTCTATTTTGAGTCTCATCACCTTGCTATGTAATCGTATCCAATTTAGCAAGGACGTCTTGGATTTTTTTATTTCCACTAATTTTAGTTTGTATTAATTTATCCCTACATGTTTTAATAATTCAATATTAATGATGTACTAGATTGAAATAATAATTTAACTTCAATTAAATTTAAATGATTTAATTATTATTTCAAATTTATTTTCTTGTAAACAGAGCAGCAGATCATCAATTTACTTCTTGCTATTATCTTTGGTGTCCGCTATCCTTATTAACTTAAAATAGCGATACCGTCCAATTTCTGCTAATAGAGGGTTATCTGAACTCATATTAAAAAAATTGTAATGTGTATCTTTTCCATGTGGTTTACTGAACTTTGTGTCTTATTTTCCTAGCGCATGCAAGTGTGACTGCGCAGGGTAAATGGTTTCACAGTCACGTCCATCTGAAAATGCTGGGGTCGTTTAACTAGATACATGATCAGCTGTATGACTGACCCTCTGAACGAACTGGCCCCTTGCAACTACTCTTTAAAAGGATCGTCCGTTAGACTGGGTATTGATATACAGCAATTGAGAGAACAACTACATAGCTAGTGTGCCAATTGACTTTTGAAATACATATTTGGAATTTAAATGAACAAGTGGGCGGATTTGCGCACTGCAAAATCTGTCTCAAATAACCAATTTCATTCTAAATAGCATATAACAAGTCGGAATTACGACAGTCAATTGCTATTTTTTTACAATTCTTAATAAGTTGAATTTCTAACATTGCTCTTCTTTGCGTTTCATGACGGTGCTGTGCTCTCTATTTCAATTATTTTTATTGTATGCCATTATATCCACTAATTCAAGTATGTATTGATTTGTCACTACATGTTTTAATAATCCAATATTAATGACGTACATGTTTCAAATGATGATATAACTTCAATTACATTAAACGACAGAACTGTAACAATTTAATATTTATGAGGTACTAGTTTCAAATGATGATATAACTTCAATTACATTAAATGACTTAACTCTAATAATTCATCTGCAAAACAAAAAACAAAAGATTCTCAATTTACCTGAGCCTGACATAAAGGCTAAAAATAGTGCAGATATCCATGTTGTTGTCAATAAGTCGGCATTAAAGTTTTCTAGAAGAGCGATATGAATCATTCCACTTGCATACGCACAATAGCCCATTATAATGTGTTCTCCTACTGATCCTACAAGGACGAGCCATGCCCAACCTTTTTCAGGTGATGTCGGCGACATTTTTAAATGACACACACGATTGCACACTAAATATCAAATGATGAAATTGGAGTACTAGCTATAACCTCTGACATTGTAATGCAATTTACCCTTAGTAATAAATACATTCATGTGTATATTCTTTATATATGTCTTTAAAACGATTGCATGTGAAGTATCTTTATTTCATAGGATACAAATTAATAGGTTTCATCCTGTTCTATTTTAAACAATTTGGTGTCAAAAATTATAAAATATTTTATTACGTATACTAGAATAAATATTGCAGAAACAGTTTTTTTACATTACCAGTTACTTTATGTTTAAAACTGGTTAAGGTTTATCCAGAAAAGCGTGTCGGACGTATAAAATTCATAACGTGTTGTTTTCATTTGTTAAAGGAGTAAAGCCAGGAAACCCATTAAAAGGCCCTGTAAAGGTTTTTTTTTAACTTCAATTATTAAAGTAAATCTTATGTGTATATATTGCTAAATGTACGATATTTGAAAGTATAATATAAACAATTGTATATATGCTTTATATTTATATTATAAAAAAGGAAAAGATTTCATTTTCGTCATTTTTTCTACAAATTTTCAACTTTTTTTCCACCTTTTTTCATAATTTTATAAGTGGCGCCACCCCTCGCCCACTGAAATTTTTGTTGAAACGTAAAGAATATGGTATATAAAGAATATTTCAGCAAACGTATTTGTGGGTGAAGTGTGGCGCCACAGTTTTATTTTCAGAAAACTGTCATAAATTTTGCAGAATTCAAAAAATCAGGATTTGCAAAACTATTGGACATTTTAGCATATGTTTTCATCAAAATTTCACCTCATTTTTGCAGTAAAAAAAATCAGATGTTTAGGGCCAAAATTATGAGTTAGTGAACAAACTCCTTTTAACAGGAAAGAGTATTTTAATGCAACAAACTAGATACGATTTATACACAGCTTAGTTTATGATTTAATGAATTTGAACTACACTTGCACGTTTCAAAATAATCTAATTAGTTAAATCGACATTTGCTATTTTC